AGTTTCAGGGGGTGCCCCAGGAATGCTGGCTTAATGCAATGGGGGGCGGGGGGGGGGGTCACAGGGGGCCCAAGGGCTCTGAGTCAGGTCATTCCCGTTACCAGGGGGTGAAGGGGTGACAGCAAATGGATTGTGGGGAGCAGCCCTCACCCCCACCCCCTGCAGGCCCTCCCCAGGCCCCCTCCCAGCAGCTCCTGGCCTCAGCACTGCCTGGTCACCCTGGGTCTACTCCATCTCGGGGCTTCTCTCCTGAGTCAGCCCTCTCCCTGGGCTGATCCTAGGGTCTGACCTGGGAGGGGAGCTGAGCAAAGGTGGGGCTGTGGGCAGGGGTGCCAGCTGACAGACCCCAGCCCCACTGCTAGGCACACCCCAGAGGGTCCCCCCCTTCTCCAGGCCCAGCCTCCCACTCCTGTATGAGGAGGGCAAGCCCACATCCAGGTTCCATCTGTGCCGACTGCCCGAGGTAATGGGTCAGGGAGGAGGGCTGGTAGGGAGCAGGTTGGGGTGTCTCTTCAGGGAGCTGGTGAAAGTGTGGAGAGTCACTGTACACCCCCTTCCCAAGGCCCAGCTTGTGGAGCAGGTGGTGAGGAGGCGATGTTCCAGGGATGAGCAGTACCCCAAGATCCAGGGTGCAAAGACCTCCCTGTGGGACAGCCATCGAAGTGCCCAGTGCCTGGCCTCTGAAGGGCAGTGAGGGGGGCGCCACAGAAGCCGATCTCCGCCTGGGCAGAGCCTGGAGCATTGGGCTTCCTGTGCGTCAGGCAGCTCGGGGCCAGGTGGCAGGGGCCAGGGCTGTCCACTCCCAGAATTGAAGGGGGCGCAGGCTCACGCAGCTGCCTGAACCCCGCAGAGTCTGGCCCCACTGTATCCTTCCCCACTAAGTCTCCATAGCCCCAGGACTGCAGCCACACTTGAGATTCTCACTGCCCTGTCCATGCTGTCCCCCAACTGGCTGCAGAATTAACTGGAACCAGCCTTTCTCTCATTTCATTGATTTATTGCATCCCTGAAAAGTTTCCTTCGGAACAGAGAGAATTTGAAGAATTATCCTGGAGATAGTGGACATCTCTGTATGCACCCTCGCAGGGTGGGGTAGGGGCTTCCCTTTGAGACTCAGACTGGGGCTGACTGCACCCTGCCTGCTGGCCCCCGCCCCGTACCCCCCCACCCTGCTTGCTCAGAAACCTTCCTTTCCTTTGCACAAAGGAGACTCAGGGCAAGGTGTGACCTGAGCTGAACCATGTGCCACGGGGGCCCAGACCCCCCACCAGTGCCTGAGTCTGGCCAGTGAGAGGTGCCAAGTGCTCCTGGCGGAAGTCGGGAGACCCCCCCCCCTCTCTGCTTCTGGGCAGTGCTGTGATGCCTGGAAGGTGGAAGCCTCTTTGCTCCCAGCGCAGGTGAAGCCAGCTTCTTAGTGGACAGACAGTTGGGTGCAGCATAAGTGAGTCCATGACAGGTGGGTCCCGGACAGAGGAACCCAGGATGTGGGATGCACTGAATGTGGATGCAAGGGGCTGTCTATGGGTTGGAGTACAGGACTCCTGTCGCCCAGGGCTCCCACAGGAGGCTGGGCTGAAAACCCGATTCTCACCAGCTGCAGTTCCTAGCGAGGACTGGTCCATGTCCACACCCCAGTCCCTGCTTTGAATGGAACACATGCCCAGTAAAACCTGGCACTATTTCAACAGCAAGTCAGAGCCCCAAGGCTGCTGCTCTGTGACCTGACCTCCACGCTTGGGGTGGCACCCACAGCAGGTGTCATCAGGCTCTTTCTTCCTCCAGCCCTGGCCCAGCAGCTTGCTGGCCCCTGGGGCTCAGCCTCCTGCCCCAGCCCCTCAGAGGTCAGAGCCCACCTCCACACCTCCTAGTGTCCCTCTGCAGGCAGCTGGCATGGCCATGGCCCCACTTCGGTCCATCTCATTGGAACCTAACTTCCAGCCGGGCCCCCTCGGAGTTGTGCTCAGCACAGGGATGTGCACAGCTTAGAGCAGCTTCCCAGGACCCCCTGTAAGACAGGGTCCAACAAGGCCACACACCTAATGTGC